GATTTCCCCTAATTTCCCGTGTCTAACCCACCTAACCTAAACATCCCTGGGCATTTTAGCATGGCCAATTCACCTATCCTGCACATCTTTGACTGTGGGAGGAAACCGGAGCACCCAGAGGAAACCCATGCAGACAAAGGGAGAATGTGCAAACTCCACATGGACAGTCGCCTGAGAGTGGAATCGAACCCGGGTCCTTGGCGCTGTGAGGCAGCGGTGCTAACCACTGAGCCACCGTGCTGCCCATCTCTTAGACCATCCATGCGCACCTAGGCAAATGCTGCTGATTGTTTGCTATTAATTACAAAAGTGTCTCTTTCAGCTTCTGACTAGTATATGAAGCAGCATCTTCCATTTACATAGCGTCTTTAACGGAGCTTTTTTAAAAAAAAGTCTCAAGGTACTTTGACAGGAGCATTATCAACCAATATTTGACACTTAGCCAGACCAGAGAGTAGCACAACATTCCAAGCACTGTAAATCTAAAGCATAAACTAGAAATACTTCAGATCTGGCAGGATCCATGGCGAGAGGTTCTGTTTAAGGGTAATTGATTTTGAAGATTAAGGCAGAACACTGAAAATTTGGTCAGAGGTAGGTTTTTAAGGGATGTCTTAGAGGAGAAAAGAAAGGTAGAGAAGTTTGGAAGTGATTGTAGAGCATGGGGCTCAGGAAATTGACCACCAGAGGTAAAAGGATTAAATTTGGGGGTTGAGCAAGAGGCCTAAATTGTTTTTAAAAATACATAAATGGCTGTAATGTGCTTTGGGAAGTCCAGAGGTTGTGGACATACAAGTCTTTCTTCTCACTACCTTGCATCAAATGTGGCTGCTATCTGTAGTATATAATTTTTTTTTGCCAGGAGTTGCCTGTCCTGGTATTTCATTATATGGCTTGGTGTCAACCACTTGATAAATGTTCCTATGTAGGACCATGGGATATTGTGCCGCATTAAAGATGGTATATAAACGCAAGCAGTTCTTTTTGTCGTAGTGTCCTCGTCACTGCTATGACTGTGGTCAGTTTTGGCATATTTGACTGAAAATTGAATGTGTATCATGTCACCTAGCTCTTTACTTGCTTTTAAAAATGCCAAAGCATTCATAATACAAAGAGGCCTCTCCAACATAACAACATTCCCCATGCATTTTGCAGGTATATGGCCAAGAGGCTGAGCTGTGAGATGACTAAAAAGTTATGTTGGTGAAATTGAGGAAGACGATTCCTTTAACAGTCTATCACACAATTAATGGTAGGGCCCTGGGTAGTGTTGTAGAAAAGAGAGACCGAGGGGTTCAGGGACATAATTCTTTGAAACTTGTGTCACATGTAGGCAGGGTGGTTAAGAAGGCATTTAGCAAGCATGCCTTCATTGTTTAGACCTCTGAGTAAAGGAGTTGGGATGTCACGTTGAGGTTATACAGGACGTTGGAGAGGCCTCTTCTGGAGTACTGTGTGCAGTTCTAGTCGCCCTGCTGTAGGAAGGATATTATTAAGTTGGAGAGGGTTCAGTAAAGATTTCCCAGGATATTGCTAGTAATAGAGGGTTTGAGTTATAAAGATAGGTTCAATTGGCTAGGACTTCTTTCACTGGAGCATAGGTCGAGAGAGTGACTTTATAGACATGTATAAAATCGTGAAGGGCATAGTAAGGTGAATAGCAAGGGCCTTTTCCCTAGGGTGGGGGAGTTCAAAATTGGGCAGTATATTTTTAAGGTGAGAGGAGAAAGTTTTAAAAAGGACTTGGGCAACTTTTTGTTTTACGCAGTTTCATATGTAGAATGAACTGCCAGAAGAAGTGGTGGATGCAGGTTCAGTTACAACACTTAAAAGACATTTGGACACATGAACAGGAAAGGTTTGGAGGGATGTGGGCCAAAAACAAGCAGGTGGGATTATCTTGATTTGAGAACATGGTTGGTGTGGATGAGTTGGACCGAAGGATCTGTTTCCATGCTGTATGAGTGTATGATACTGCCACATCTTGCAGTCGTCCTCAATGGTTTTGCTGCTCATTTCTGTATTTACAGTGTTTACCTGTCTCAATATTTATGTGTAGCTTGGTGTAAATTTTATTTGATTAAAACTCCTGTGAAACACCTTTGGATGTTTCTCCATGTTAATAGGCTGTTTCAGTCATTGTCGCTGTCTGCTGGAGTGGCTCAGTTATTAACTTTTGCAGGAAACAGTTTGAAATCTTGTTTTGAAAGAGTTTTGTCAACTTTGAATCTTACTGCGTGCTAAAGCCTCCTGCTTTTCTGGGAACATCATGGAATGCAACAGTTAACTATTGTCATCTTTTCTGTGCGACAAACCCTCTTCCATATCAATTTGGCCCTCACCTCTTTGCCAAGTCCAAAGAGCTCAAATTTTGCTGTCACTAAGGTTGTGACCTTCTGATAAGCTGCCTTGATTGTTTCCCACCATTGCACTGAAACTGCTCTTCCAACCTACTTGAAAATTGCATCTTCTCTCTCATTGCTCTCCCATCTCCATATACCCTATCTGAGCTCAACTTCCTGGTTCCCTTATTGGTTCATATTGTTAACAGTTCCCTTTCTTCAAGTACTATACTCCTCTCATTCAATCTGCCATTATTAACACTCAAAAAATATCAATTTTACAAACTGCTGTCCCATATCCATTGGTCTTTTCTCTCCAAGACTGTCACCTCTCAAATCTGTGCCTGTCTTTTCCGGAAATCCATGTTTAAATTCCTCCAATCAGGTTTCCGTCCATGCCACAGCACCAAAATGACTCTGGTCAAATTCCCAAATGATACCCTACGAGACTGAAAGGGTAAACTCCCCCTCCTCCTGTTCCTCCGTCTGTCTGCATCCTAGAGTCATAGTCATACAGCATGGAAATAGACCCTTAGGTTCAGCCAGTCCATACCAAACATAATCTCAAACTAAACTAGTCCCACTTGCCTGCTCCTGACTCAAGCATTTCCTATTCATGTATCCATCCAAATGTCTTTTAAACATTGTGATTGTACCCACATCCACCACTTCATCAAGAAGGTCATTCCACAAGGAAACCACCCTTTGTGTAAAAAACAAAATTGCCTCATGTCTTTTTTTAAATCTCTCCTCTCACCTTAAAAGTGTGTCCCCTAGTCTTGAAATTCCCATCTTAGAGAAAAGACAACCACCATCAACTCTATCTATACATCTCATTATTTTATAAACTCCTATAAGGTTGCTTCTCAACCTCCAGCGCTCCAGTGGAAAAAGTTCCAGTCTTTCCTTATGACCTCAGACGTGATGGACCATACCATCCCGTTCCACCACCTCTCCACTGATGGGACTGCATTTGCCTGATTCTGTTCTTGTCTATCTATTTGTAGTCAGAAAATCATGTGCAACGGCCTCCCTTTCCACACCCACACAGTTACCTCTGATATCCCTCAAGAATTCATCCTTGATACTCTCTTACTTTTCAACCACATGCAGTCACTCTGTTACAACGTAAGAATCACGACTTTATTTCTCATATGTTCATGGACAACAGCAAGCTCTACTTCACCACCACCTCTTATGACTGCTTCACTGTTGCTAAGTTATCTGGCTGCTTATCCACTATCCCATACTGGATAAGCAGTATGAGGAGGACCAGAACCGTAAATATTGTCTTTATGAAGCTCAGCGTCAAATTTTGCACGATAACATTACTATGAAGCATTTTATTACTTGAAATACATGCGTATTAATTACTGATTTTGTGATTTAAATCTCTAACACATTTCTTTTCAATTGAGCGGTGCTCCTTGTGTCACAGAATGAGCGATGCTGCTTTTCAATTGGAATAGTTGTATCTTCCTTTAGCAATAATCCTGTTATAGTTGCTAGGCTGTAGGTAGCATAATTAGGTATACATTTCTAAAACTATCTGCCCTTCTACTGTGGGACTGGGTGAATATTTATGTATTTGAACATTTTGCCCTGACCTTTTATGATCTGTTGGAGAGGGTGTTCAAGTGTGAATGTTCCGGATTCACAGCTCAGTCCAGAGACTGAAGCACTTAGTCCAACTTGACACTCCAATGCAATGCTGTTGTGTTTCAAGGGAGAGGTTGCTGATATGCTGTCTTGTTGGAAGTATTCAGCCATTCGGTAAGATCATTGCTGTTCTGTGTGTCAGCTTCAATCACCGGCTCGATCGCTGTTTCACAGGATAGTGATAATTAGAAACAATTCATGTAGCTAAAATAAAAACCATAAGTGCTCACCCCAGATGTTACCAGACCTGCTGAGTTTCTCCAGCACTTTTTTCTGTTTCTTTCAGATTTTCAACATCTGTAGCATTTTGCTTTTATTCACAAACCTAAGATCCCTTTGAATGGATGTATTGAAGCTAATGAACTTGAACTTCATTTGAGAAAGGGAGTTCGAGGGGGACATCTTAAAAGAGTAAGATGTTAATATATTCTGCATTAATTCTTTTAAAAATTCTGCTATGGAGATATAGGGACCACAGTCAGTGGTAACCAGCGAGATGAAATGTTTAGATAAAAAGAAGCCACACAGCTGTTGTCTGAAACTGTTCATTTGAGGTGTAAATGTCTTCTTTTGTTTGCTTTTTTTCTTAGCAACAAGATACCAAGGCAAGAGGCACAACACAACACGGAATCCTGGACTTCCCTAGATCAGTTTATGGCTAAGCTGTGTAGACATCATCAGATACAGTTTATGAACGTACTAAGCTACATGCACAGTGAAGCAAGTCCAGACGAGGAGCCCTCGGAATTGTCATCACATGAGGACATGGCTACATCCAGCCCACCCCCTGTCCTTCAACAGCCTAAAAACTCTGAGGACCGAACTGGGAGAGGATCCACCTTACAATCATGTCCTTCCTCAAATCAAGAGATCCAAACACCAAACAAATTGAACAGCGAAAGCATCAAGGAAGAAAACCAGCCAGCTCGGGAGGAGCTACTCCTGCTGGGAACTGAAGCAAACAGAGTTGCTTCTGTTGAAAAGCCAACACCTAAAGGCTGCTGTAGCAGTGGAAATTATATAAAAAACTGCACTGAAGAGGCAGGGTTCTCCTCTATAGGTATGTGTACTACTGACTATAATAAAACTGGGAGCATGGAGTGTCTACAAAAAGAAACTGTGAATCAAAAGGAGACCGATATCTCACAACTAGATCAGACCTCTAGTGAATGTGCACACATTAGTACTGTTGCCCGATTAGAAGGAATATGTTCTAACAGCCACGAGAACAAAACAGAGGCTGCAGTTGCTGGCAAAGCTCAGGTTGAAACTCCCCGAGTTCTTCCTGAGGAACTTTTGAACTTGAGTAAGAATTTGTCCAAAAATCACAGTGGTTCACGGGGCAGTTCCAGAGCTGTGTCTGATCACAAAGCAATTAAACACACTTCGGTTCAGGGTGGATCTCGAGAACATACCAGTGCTACCAAAAGAACGATCAAAAGTAGCCATGTGCTCACAATGGAGTCGAGCACCAAAGATTGGTTTCCCTCGAAGTCGCGTGCTGCTGTGCGTGACGCCAGTGGCCGTCTGAGATTGAAGCCACAGGCTCCTCCCACAAAAACAGCCAGAAAAAGCACCAGGGTGTCTGTACTGCGGGCTCGCTCTTCCATGCCCATGTGCCAATATGTGAATGAGCATGACAACCAGTGTGATATTGTTTACATCAGCAAGCCCATCACAGAATGCCGTTTTGATGCTCAGAGGTCCTTATCTTCCAGTCGAAAGACTGCACGGAAAAGCACACGTGGACATCTCTGCAATGAAGAATATTGGGAGCTAAAGACTGTCCGCACTTTGGCCAAGAGTCCAGCAATGGAGGCGAGAAAGGGCAACTGTCCCTCATTAATTCCCATACCGCCTGCCCCAGTGACCCCGAAGCAAGCACTTATCCTGCCTGTCAGTGTGCCCATTTGTGTTTCTGTGGGCGCTGGAGCTGGAGCTGGTATTCATGGGGACCCTAAGGTGCAGCTGAAAGTCTCACAGGAAGACTTTAGTTATTCAGAGAGTAAAGGGGAGCTGGTGGTTGAGCCGAGTCAGACCTGTCGTTCACGGGAGACTGAGGTGCTTTTCCGGACTGAAAACAGCCCACAAGGGGATCCCGAGAGACCTAGGGATCAGACCAATACCTCTGATTCCAAAAGCCGTTCTCTGGAAGTCAAGAACACGCCGGTCTTAACCTTACAAATGAACAACTGCATCACAACACGTGCTGATTACCGAGCTCTTTGTGACAGCTTGCCAGCTGAACATGGTGCTTGTGAGAGCCCTGAACTATCGAAGCCACTGGGAGAGTGCAGGAACACGCAAAGGAACCCTTCTGAACTGGAACAGTTAGTAAAAGAAAGTGATGCCACTGAGGACATATCATCAACAGTAGGCTCTCCAAACAATTTGCAGCCTGTTCCAGTTGATCAGAACCAAAACCCATCTGTGACATCTTTAGAAAAGGTGAGCACCAGTTCATTTTGCAGTATTGAGGTTAAGATCACTCCTGCTCACGAGCACTGCAGCACTCGGCACTTCGGCAACAGTGAAATATTAAACATTAACAAGACCACAATGAGCAATAGTCTCAGCTGTCCGCTATCAGAAGATCAGCGTACTGGGGATGCAGTTGAATCTCTTGGAGACGTGAATGAGATACAGGTAGAAAAATTGTTAACTGAGATTAAAGGGCCCAGCATTTCAGAACAGACACTTGGTGTTCCACCTGAAGCAGTTGCTTGTTCCGTCACTCCCTGTGTAGTTTCATGTCCGCCAATAATGTCCAGATGTAAAGATGGGAGCAGTCACCTTGCTTCAGGAGGGTCTGTGCTGGAGCTTATGGAAGGACCTCATCAGGGAACTGATAATATGAGGTGTAATATTGCAATGAACGGATCAGCTTTGGAGAAGATGAAATTGGAAGACCTTGATGAAAATGTGATTGACCAAAAGAGGGAAGGAGGCAATAGCACTGAAGGAACTCCTGAGGATGAAAAGCAGAGAAGCCACCACGAGAAGACACTAGGCCTCACCACATCAGAGAAGAAAAAGCATCGCAGGAAATTGGAGCTAGCTTCTTCAGACAGATGTTTACGGAGTCAGCAGCCTAGGCCACAAGCTGTGACTTGTCCCGATGACACAAAAGAACAGCCACCAGTTTGTGTTGATGGATTACTGGTACCCTGTCTCAGCATAAAACTCCTGAGAAGTCAAGGCGAGAGAGGGTACAAAAGGGAGGTGTGTATCAACAGAGTAACATCTGTTCAGTTTCCTACAGAGTGCTTCAACAAAATCCTTTTGGAAAGCATTGTTGACCCTGAGAGCAGAGTGTGTGAGTCTCTTACTTCCACATCTGAGCAAGATATTGCCAAAGCGAGAAAGGCAACCGTTAAGCCACTCTCCAAAAATCCCCTTTTGAAAGATTTTGAAAACTTGCAAGATGACGAGTCGGTGGATGACAATCTTAGCAACGAAAGAGCGAGCTATGGGCAAGGTCGGATTCTCGAGGTCAGTGTTGATTCTCGATCATCGGCAGAACGAAAAGTTTCTTTCTCTGCTCACCATGTCAGAAACGATCAAGATTCGGAATCTTCTGATGGTTCGGTGGATGATATGTCTCCTGCTATCCAACAGCAGACCAGTTCAGGGAAGACAGATACCTGTAAAGAGAACTCAAAATGGGCAAGAGGAAGCATGATGAAAAGATTGACGAACGTGGGATCACTGCACCAAGCAGCTAAAGGAATGACCCCAAAAGTACCACCAGGAGATAAGGTTCTTGCTGGATCTCGTACCTTGAGATGTTCAAATATGTCCAACACAGAACCAGAGGCAATAATGCTACAAGAGGACAGCAAATGCTTAAGTATGAATCAACCTACTGAATTTCACCAGGAGAATGAAGAATCTGAGCTGCTAGGTCTGAGTGATGCTGATGCTCCTGAACCAAGTCGGCCGAAGTTTTTGGACTGGTGCTCAGAGGATGAGAACCAGGAGCTGATCACCACCTTGAATGCCACGTATGAGAACATTCACAAGGGTTGGATTCAGATGGAGAAGGAAGTGCCAGTAATGCAGAAAGCAAAATGCAAGTCCGACCGGCTCAAGGAGATCTGGAAAAGCAAGAAGAGGGCACGCAAAGCAAGAGGGCTGTATGACCATAAAATATCCCCAGTACAGAAACTCTTTATGACCAACTTCAACCTTGCCAGCATCTGTAAATGGTTCATGGAAACAACTGAGACCAGGTCTCTGATCATCGTTAAAAATGTCAGTGCCCGGAATCCAGTTGAGACCATGAAAGCTAAAACCTTCCTTCAGAAGAACTCCATGATCGGTCTGTTCCCCAGTCCCCAAGCCGAGCGGCTAAAGAAACACCTGAAAAAGTTTGCCGTGGCATCTCCTGCTCGAAACAATTGGAAGACTCGGGCACTGCTGGACAATGTGCAGAGGAGAGCTGCGACAGGGGCGGATGGAGCAGGACAGCAGCAATGGAGCTTTTCCTTAGATACTAGAGAAGGCCTGACTCCCAGGGACCTTTTTCTGGCCAAAGTGGAAAGTGACCCTGTCGAGGAGGGTGGATTTCCTGGTAACAATACAGCAGCCCAGCCCTCCAAGCATTTGGGGTTGAAGAAACCGGTCAGTGCATGGATCTTGCGGAAATATTCCAACATGAGAGGCAAGCTCCACAAATTGCAGCAGGGGCAAGAGCACGCTGGGAGGAAGGTCTTAGCCAAGCACAAGAGTGTCTGTATGAACCCCATGGTCTCTCCCAAGCTGACCTCGCAGGCCCAACTGGACTGTCCTGGAGCCCCTCTCCCCATTGCCTCTCGGAAGCCTGAAGAGAGCAAAGGGAAGAGGAAGGCACCCAAGGACAATCGCATTAAGGAACTCCGTGTGGGTCGAGTCAAGAGCAGCAAGTCTGAGGCAGGCCCTCCTGTCCTGCTGCCCAAATCCATGCCCAAGCAGTTGCCTGCAAACCGGAAGTCCAGAGTGGAGGTCAACGCTGTAAAGGCTGCAGCTCCCAAAAAGGCTGCTGCCAGTGGAAAGACCAATGTTCTGTCTCCAAAAAGCACAGAGAAGAGGCTTTCTGGCGCTAACCTGAAAAATGTTCCAAGGGGCAAGGGCTCATCCCAAGGTCGGGATGCGGCAAAAGGCAGGATGACAAAAAGAAACAGCAGCAAAGAGTGTCGGATGAAACCTAACAAGAAAACAGCAGGGCCTTCAGTCAAGGCCAAGAGGGGCATTAAGACTGATGCCAAAAAGGGAAACAAGATGGCCACCCCAGGGAAGCGTAAGCGAAAGGGTGAAGCCACCTCAGAAGCTACGCACAAAAAGAAACGGAAGTTAAATGAGAAGAGAGACCCTGTTCCCAATAGACGCAAGCGGACTGATGCAAAATGACACACTTCCTGAAGGACTAACTGTAAATTATTGTGTCTTTATACAACAGCAGTCAACAAAAGATTGTTGACTGCAGAAAGCATTAATTGTCTAAGCTGCTTTTTATAATCTTGAAGCAAGCCTTTGAAATCGCAGAGGAAAGAACTGAAGTGTGATTTTTAATTTTATTTTTTTAAGCACGTGAGCTTATAGCTTGTTGTAAAGAAAATACAGGGAGCTTCCCCCAACTGTGAATAGAGTTTTTATATGGTGCTACGGATGGTATTGTTTTCTTTTTCCTGTTTGTTTTTTTTATATACATATATATATGTGTGTGTGTATATATATATATAAAATATTGCCCTGGCTTAGGACTGAAATGAAAGCTGCAAGCGCAAATTGAAAAGAACAGTGCCTTATTTAATGACGAGAGGAAAAGAAACAATTTTTTGCGTGTGTGTATCTGAGATTAAAGGCTTGCATTCACAATGGAGACTTACTCTATACTTGTTGCACCTCCACTTTCTGTAAGAAGAAAGCCATTGCAAATAGAATATTACAGCACAGAAAGAGGCTATTTGGCCCATGGTGTATGTGCTGGCTCTTTGAAAGAGATATTCAATTAGTCTGGGCTCCCACCTCCCCCCCCCCCGCCAACCACCCATGCAGCATTAATCTCCTTTTTCGGGTATTTATTCAATTCCTATTTTGAAAGTTACTGTTGAATCTGCTTTCATGCTCTTTAAGCCAGTGTGTTCTGAATCATAACATCCCGATGTATAAACAAAAGGTTTTCTTTACCGATTCTTTTGCTGGTTTACCTTGAATTTGTATTCTCTATTTTCAGACCGCCTGCCAGTAGAAAGTTTCTCTGCATGCTCAATCAGCAGAACATTTCTTCATTTTAAATGCCTCCTTACTTAAATTTTCCAATCTCTCTGTCTCTCTCCCCTTATCCAATCCCACCCGCAAACCAGGGCTTTATCTGTTAAATTATTCAAATGACTCTGCTTTTGTTGATCTGCTCAGACTCCATTCCACATGATGATTACTTAGACTGCAATCTATGTTGTTCACTACCGGTTTCTACAGGATCCCCTCAGTCACTGTCTTCCAAGGCTGGAAAGCAAAGATTTCTGCATCTTCCTTTATAGCTCAAGATCATTTACATAGCCCTTCCCATCCCACTTTCACTTCTCCTCCGTGACTCAGTAGCCAGCGCTGATGATGAGGTGAGGGCTCAACATGTTCACTTCAAGCCTGACTGTTCCCCCATATTTGCTATTGTTTTTTACTCTATAATTTATTTGACTAAGTGTGCTATTGAGATAACGATGGTAAAAGCAGACATGCTAGCAGATTTCTCCTACTCTTGTATAATTCACAGAATGGTGCAGTATAGAAAGAGGCCACTTAGGCAGCAATGCCCATTTGAAAGATTGCCCAATTAGTCTGGTATCCTTCACTTTCTCCATTGCCCTGAAATGTTTTTTTTTCCACTTCAAGTGTATACAGTTGCTTCTGATAAATTATTATTGGATAGGCTCCCATCATCCTTTCCAGTGTTCCTCTCTGTCCTTCATGTTTAGTTTAGTTAGTTATTTTAAAAATTCTTCTTGTCTTTGAGTCTCCCTGATAGGTCTAGTGGTATTATTGCTGAATTATTAATCCAGAAAGCTGGGTAATGTTCAAGGGCCCGGGTTCCAATCTTACTGTGGTGGATGGTGGAATTTGAATTTGAATTTAAAAATCTGGAATTGAGAGCCTAATGATGACCATGCTGATTGTCAGAAAAACCCATCTTGTTCACTATTATCCTTCAGGGAAGGTAACAGCCAATCTTACCTGCTCTGATCCACATGTGACTCCAGATCCACAGCAATATTGATTGACTCTTAACTGCCTTCTGGGGAAATTTGATAATGGGCAAGCTTAGCAACATTCACATCCCAAGAAAGAACTTCAAAAATGCCAGCCAGCAGGACATGGGATGCAGCTCTCAATCTTAAGCCCACTTTGGAGTCTTTAATAAAGGCTGAATGAAAAGTGAACTGTGTTTTAGCTTGTTGTGGTAGGGCAGATCAGAGATGAGCAAACCCAGCATTGTCATAACAAGATCAAGAACAAAGAATTGGAATGGCCAGTTGTGCTCAAGTGGTTCAATCAAAAGTTTGTTGGACCACTTGAGATTCTTTTTTAAAAAAAAAAAATTTGAATCACCCTGTCCAGAGGTGTTATGACACACCTCTGGACCAGATGGGACTTGAACCCAGGCCTCTTGGCTCAGAGATGAGGTCACAACAAGAGCCTCCCTATTCTAAACTGTGATTGAATGCCCCAATATTTTGGCAAGTGGTTTTCGCTGATTTAGCCAACCTCAGCCTTTTGTGAAGGTTAAGGTGTTGTAGGGTGGTGTGTTAGCTCTTTCAGAATTATTTTCAGTCTTCCTCCCCACCCCCAAAAAATACCAACCTAAAGGGCAACTCTCCCTACTGCTGTTTCCTTTCCTCACATTCCCTCCTGTTTTCTCAGGGAAAGCTATTTTCTCCAGCTATGGATGAGTAGTAAATAAAACTCCTGAAACATAAGAAAAGCTGCTGGACATCTAAAGTTAAAAGAAAATCCTGGAAGGGAGCACTTATAAAGGTTTTTGAGCACAGTTTTGTTCAAACAAAGGGTCTGACCTACAACATGAATCTCTTTACTCCTAAAAGAGTTGCACAGCAGCTTGAGGTGAGGAACTTAGAAGGTGACGGACTGGGGGGGAAAAGAAAGTGGTATGAGTGAAAGCAAGACAGCTTTTTCTGAGAGCTATTCAAGCCACAACAGGCCAAATGGTGTTCTAATACCCTCTTTCTAACTATTCAGGCTCTGTGTTTTTCAAGCATTTTCTGATTTTGGTTAAGTGGGCGACAGAGCATTGCATCATAATCCAGTAGGGCTTAAACTGCAGCTTTGCAAGAAGAGCATGGAAATGGACTTTACAACCAATGCAGAATTATATCAAAATGTGATGACATTGGGGCCAGTTGGTCATGCTGATGTTTATCCTCCACACTAGATACCGCCCGTCTTTTCCCATCTAATTCTGTCAGCAAACCTCTATATATTCCTCCTCACATCTTTAAAATAAGATTTAAATGCATCAACATTATTAGTTTGAACCTCTCTCTATGCTTGAGAGTTCCCCATTCTCGATACTTTCTGGGTCAAGGATTTTCTTCTAAATTCCCAATTGGTTTTTTTCAGTGACTATCTTATGTTAATGACCTCTGGTTTTGCTGTCTCTCAAAGTGGAATTTCTGCATTAACTTCCTGTTTTAATAAGGGATTGATTTGGAGAAGCTCCTGAATTGGTACTGCGCATCGTGTAATTTGGTCCATTCCCTTTGCCCTTTGTGGAGAGTCTCGCCTCGATTTCTAATTTTCTTTGTGTCCTCAGGCACCATTGATTCCAATATTAAGCAATAAAACTTTGTACCACTTAAATGATGAGCGATTGGCTACTATACAGTGCCTTGTTGTTCATCCTTGTTTCTATGCAAGAGTTTTGTGAAGTAATACTTTGTTATAATATTGAATATTGATGCCTGGTGGTGGTTGGTTGAATTGTGACAGCAGTGGCAATCTGAGACCATGCAGCAGAAGCTGCTACATTGCCAGAATTAAGCCAACCTTGGGTCACAGAGGTAGCCTTGTAATGTTGGTAATGCAGTGGACACTGTGTTACTATTTCGACAAACATGGTAGCTTTTTTGCACACGTTGAAATCCAACAGTTATGAAACATTATTTTACCTTTGTGTGAACACTCCCTGCATTTCGGACTTAGTTATTTGGTATGATGCTCATTGAAACTTGCGGTGAACATGATGATTATTCCTGTTTTGATTCATTTCAGCTACGGAGAAAGGTGGCATGTCATGAAGTGGTTTAGGTGGATAAGTTAGATGTGGTAATATAAGACGGTTTCCACCTCAACCAATTTCCTTTTCCATCATTGATATGAAAGCCTAGGTGTCTATGTCTTGTTCGTGTATGACCCCTGTACTCATTGACTGACATACACTATTTTTCTTGTCTGACAATGCCTTGGTTTTAAAATTCTTGTTCATGTTTCAAAGTCCATCCTTAGCTCTGTACCTTCCATTCCCTAACTCCTCCAGTCTATAACCCTCCAAGAATGCTCTGCTCTTCTCCAATTTTGGTCTCTTTATCGTCACCCCAAAATCTGTACTTCCAGAGTTTTGGACCCAGATGGCTGGATTTCCCTCACTAAACATCTTTGTCTCTCTTTTGCTCCTTCACACCTGCCACTTTGTAGCTTTAGGTTACTTGCTCCAATATCCCCTTCTGTCAACTTCCATTTGGTATTCTTGAAGTATTTTGGAATGTTTCACAACATTTAAAGTTACTGTATATAAATGCATAAATAATTTGTCTCTTGCTTGCACCAGCATGTAGGAGAAAATAGTTTGTCCATCGGGTGTCCAGCAGTATTACTGTGAAAACCTTTCTGGTGGACATGTGAAGGCAGCAGTGTTGGAACAAAGCTAATGGGATGTGCAAGCATGGGAGGGTGAAGCAGATGTGCAACACTTGTCTCAGGCTTCCATGCTGTATAGACCCATTTGACTTCCATTCCACATCTTCCTATCTGTAGCTTTTACAAAAAAAAACATTGTAAGTTGAAATGCTGAACTGTATCTTCATCCCAGTAATCATATATAAAAGAATCGGCCATAACAGAACACAGCACTGGTGATCAACTGGGTAGGACCCTTTTTAAAATAAGATGTCTCAGGTTGGCAGTTTATCATTGTGTTGCAGAATAGGGCTCCTACTTAACTTCCCTTAGTCCCTTTAATGCGGAGTACTGAGAGGAGGAATGAAGTGCGCACCGTGCTCAGGTACTGCTTTTTTTTTCGAGATTTACAAGTGCATTAAGATCTCAAGTTCATTTTTACTTTTGGTCGTTAGCTAAGGCACCACTCCCCATCACTACTAAACACACACACATGCACATAAACCTCTGTTTCACCCCAACCCTCCCACATTAATGTTGTCTTCCAATGTCCAAGAAGCAGAAAAGAAAATGGTTTGCTCTCCTTGCTGGGAGTGGCTTCTTTCCAAAAGAATGCATGTATAGAACATGCCCCCAACAATACTAAAAGCCATTGGTTATTTGCTATCTAAACCATACCTGGCTAACAGCAAAGAACTGTATCCAGCAAGCACTTTAGAACAGACGGGTGGCAGGCAGAATTTGGAGAACATGACGAAAATTTCTCAAGATTAGCTTCTAAGGTGGCCTTAAAGCTGAGCTTCAGCTAATCACCTTTTTCTTTTTCCATCTTCTACTAGTTCCCTGCACCAATCTGGTAGCCTAACTCTACCAAGTGTTGTCCTCTGTAACAGCTTACTATCATGGTATTGTCCTGATTTTATTAGGTTATTGGCATACTAAGATTGCAGGTAGACTTAGCTTTACT